CATTTCATTCTTCAAGCTTTTAAAGCGTGAAGCGAACTACAATATTTGCTCCATGGTATTCCGATATATGGCCACATCAACACACCAAATATATTCTGAGGAATAATGAATAGGACAGCTTCCAACCTGGAACTGAACATCAAATGCGCACTTATCGACGTTCTCTTTGGTCGTAGCAATCACATAGTCCTACTCTTCGAATGTAATTGTTTTACAGAATACGCGGTAAAAATTTCTGATGCAACATGAAACATTAAACACGAGGTCATTTTATCAAGGATAAGTAAGGCAACCTAACGGATCTTTTGGCAGGCAAGAAAGTAACCAGCGCATGGAAAATATCGTCGTACATTTAACCACACGGTTGCCGAAGCAACAATGACTAGGAATTTTCACCCGAGTTACGTACTTTAATTTCTTTGAAGCAGGACACGCAGGCTATAGCGGTGCACAACTTAGTCAAGTATATCTATGCCTCCCAAAGGAACCATTGTACTCTGCTTATTTGCAAGGAAATAATATCCTAACACCAGAAGAAGTCCAACCACAAGTAGCGACAATTAAAAAGTCTAGGGAAGGTACACGAGGAACTCCTTCTCTTTAAACAACAAAGAGCACCAACGCAAACACCCGAGATGGCGACAAATACACTGCACCTAAATTACACTGCATACCTTTTGGCCAGATCATGGGCAGTCTAGCCATATGACAACTGTTTTCTCATATCAATACACTCTCACGTATGCGTCACCGCCGAAGTAATACCAAACAAAACTTATGGGTGTACGTAAGCACAGCTAGCATGTAGTTGATATCATAGACCGGAAAGCACTAACGGCGAAGGAAAGAGCTTAGCAGCAATTTGTCTTGGTTCTATTAGCACGGTTTTAAAGAAATGTATTTCCAGCAAACGTGAAAACGTTAGCTGATTATTGCTATTAATAAGGGCAGTAGTAGTCCCGATCCAACCAACTGCCGCCTCGTAATCTCATAACTGGTTCCTTCAAACGTCACGGAAATTATTATTTCTGCACTAATGGCCTACTTGGGAAATTTAAGCTACATCGAACAAGGACCGCAGGGCATTTGAGGAAATTGATTCTGCCGCACGAACCTGCTAGACGGAAGCAGTAGAAGCTGGCACATGGGTTAATGTAGTCTTTATCGATTTCTTAAAGGCGTTCGACCTCTTAGTTCCTGACATTCTGCTCTTTGAAATACGAACCATTAACATCGGTGATGCTCTCTAACGAAGGACCGGATTTTCACCAAAATAGAAGTGCTGGTCAAATGTGTATTCAACGACGTCCTCTTTGGCTGCAGTAATCATAGATTCCTAGATACGAATACTATTGTTTTGCTAAATATAGGTGGATAATGCCGATGCAACACAAAATCTTAACCGCGACGACATATTAGGAAGAATAGATGAGACAAACAAATGGATCTTTCTGCAGGTAACGCACCGAATAGCACATGGATATATTTCGTCATGCAGGTAAACACACGGTTTCTGACACATCAACGACTATGGCTTTTAACGTGAGAAACGTACACTCGTTGCTGTAAAGCGGGATCACTAGTGGATAGCGGCGCACAACTCAGTCAGGCAAATTGACGAATTCTGTCTTAACTACGAGACCTAGATTACCTATGCGTACCAACGCAAACATTGTACTAAGCTAGTTTGCGAGGAAAGCATATTGTAACGGCAAAAGATGTCAATGCGTATATCACAAACCACAAGGTTTGTTTCGATAATTAAACAGTTTACGTAAGGTAAACCAAGGACTATTAGCGCTTTAAAATGTAGGCGGACCCAAGCAAACACCGAAAGTGGAGACAAATAAACTGCGCCTGCATTACCCTGCAACATTTTTAGCTTGAGCACTGGAATCCAGCCGTATGACAAAGGTTGTCTCACACCGAGTACTTAATCCCGTATGCTTCACGTCCATAGCTGTACCAAACAACCTGTTGAGTGTGGGTAAGCAAAGTTTCATTTTGTTGAAACCATACATTCGAAGTCGTTAGCGGCGGATGGAAAAAGATTAGCCGGACGTTTGTTTCAGTTCCTCCAAAACCCTTTTGACTAAATGCGCGTTCTCGACAATGTTCGCCTTGCATTTCACCAAAATATAATTGGTTTCTTCCGTCGCACCAGCTTTAGGTTTTTATACATTCACGTTCTACAAACCTTACTTATTATATGCTCCATGCTTTATTGACAAATGAAGCTAATACAGCAGCTTCCATTGTTGATGCTGTCATTGTCGATGTCAAAAACAACTTGTGCAAGCTAAGCACTACTGGCGTTTAGGTTTATAAAGTTTCAATTATTTAGATACTTTTTGGGATATATAACAAATGGGATGGAAATTGTAATCATGACTGAAAAGATGGAAAGGTTGTTTTATTTTTCGCGATGCTCGCACATGTTAATCAGAGTGTTAAGTTAGTGGTAATACTTAGGATAAACCTGGTTGCATGCGACAGCGCCTATATGGATTAAAATGGTCTAACCTTTGTAAGATTGCGTTAAATTCGTCACATTTGATGGATTGAGCACATATTAATCTTAGGTCAGGTTAAGTTTTACTTATAGAAATCACCAAGTTTTCAAAACCAGCATCAAATACTTTGAGCAACGCAGTCAACTTTAGTTTGTAAGTGTATTTATGCGTAAAGCTATTATGCAGGCAGGCGTAACGGCCTTAGTAATTAAAACGCTGTAGTTCAAAGTCTAACATCAATAGCATAGCAAGACAGTGCGTTTAAGAAGCAGCTGATGCCATAAAATTGGTGTCTAAATTTATTGCTTGACACTGTCAAATTTAATACACAAACAGTCATTCAAAGATTTCTATCACCTAAACATAAATACAGTGAATTATTGAAGGAGAGCACTATCGTTGCTAATCCGTCACACTTTTGATTCCATGTCAACTACTTGATAGCGTTGGACGTAGCAGTAACCTGGCTGGCCCAGCCTTAATTGCATTCCATTTATTGCCACTTATAACCAGATGGTGCTTGATGTGTGGTTGTTTTATGGATACTCCAACTCTATGAGTCACCTTCAGTCAAGTGCAGTTGCGCTCCGCTCACACCTCGCAAAATTGATGGAAGCAGTCATTGCTAGAGAACCTTCTGGAAAATCCTAACTTACAGAAAACAGAAATAGGTAGAAGGTTCTTTTCTTTAAATCATTTCAGGCATGTACCGTTATAAATAAACATCACATTAAATTAATAGACTATTTCTAGGTGAGCACAATCAAGAAGGATCCGTTAAGTGAGGTAGCGTATTCAGTGGCAAAATTTGAACATGGCCATAGATGAATTAGCCAATTGTCAGCTAACTGGACAATGGCTATGACAAGACCAATTTGCGCACCAACGCTTTCAGTTTGCATAACTCTAGCTTCAACATTCTACTGGCGATTGCTACCGCAACTGGCAGCAAATGTTTCTGAGTACTACAGAAATCCGTTTAAACACAAAATAATGCGCTTTGAAAGTGCCCTTGTTTTGTAGAAGAGGTCCGCTGCTCACAAGTGTTCGAAAATTGAGCACGGGACCACCTTCACAATACCACACTCTAGATAGGCAGAGCGATGATCTGCTACCTATCTCTGATGGGGTCTGATCCTTTGTCCGATTTACCATGCATCCCAGGTGCAAGTGAACCCATATAGTTCATACGATTCGGAAAAGGCCGGAATTTTTGAGGCGTTGGGTTATGAATGATATAGTCTCGCCAAGGACGTAAACCCTACCTGCTAGGTACGTCTGGTTCACTGCGGCGGACTATTTACTTCCAAGCAAAACAAAGGGAATTTCACCTTTGAGAGAAACTGAATTGACAGAGGCCTTTTTCCTCACCGTGGCTCACTACGTAGGCCGAGCTCGACTTATGGAATGTTTCTTGATGAATGCAGCAAGTTACCCATTATTAGTCAGCGTTCTGACAAGTAATCCATTTTCGGCTTCAATTATCTCTGCGCTGCAGAGGTTTTACGCACGATTAAATAGCAAGGCATTAGGAATTCGCGTATAAATGAACGGAACGAAACTGCGGAATTGCGCATACAGTCCCACCCAGGTTGGCTTCTGGTACACTATTCGACGCAATGGGACATTGTCTCTTTTAGCGTGCAAGTAACACAAAGTGTAAATGCAGCAGGTTTTCTCATCACATCTCTAGTTAGCTGGGAGCATGCAGAATTTAAGAATTATCTGGATAGGTACCGCTCGCATTTATGCCATTTACCTAGATCATTGCAAACCGTTTGACCGCTCCAAATGATGCATCAAGCTCCGCGAGCTAAAATGCTCGAATATGAGATACTCTCCTCGGGCGGAATAAATGCTTGCTACGAAAGGAGTATCCGCTTGCTGCAGTCGAGTTTGCATTGTCAGACAAGGGCCATGTAAATCGCGGTCAGAGACAAAAGTCAATGTGGGATGGCACTTATTCCTAATGTTTTTTGATGGACTTTCATCGGCGATATCTCTTTAAGCGTTCGGATTTAAGCTAATCGGTTTAAATAACGTAAACATTCGAAAGACGATATTTTCATCATACACTTTAACAACGCTCAGCTTACGTTCCTTAATGCTCAGCTGAGGATCATACATTTAGCTAGCTTAGGAAATAGGCAGTGAATCTTCGGTTATTTTGCCTGTAAATCTATGCAAGGAAGACGCTTAAGACCGGGTAGTTAACAGGCTGGATCCACGCGGGCGGCGTTCTGGTGGTTGAAATCATTTATCCTATTGTAGATATTTAACCATACCAGTGGTCCAATTTAGAATACTCATTTCAGAGCTAATAGATATGATTGGGGCGAAATCTCTTCGCGTTCTAGGCAAAATAAAGCGTACTAAAAGGACGTGTGAAAGGAATGTAATATATTTTCTACCATTGCGGACGGAGGCACATCGACTCTTCATTATTTATAATTCCAGTTCGAATAAAGTAATCTCAAGTTGGCTTACCAGCCCCCATGAAAAACAACTGGTTTAGCCGCATCTTAGACAGAACACAAACATCTAAGTTGGCAGTCTAATTTGAGCACACAGTGTAAACCGCGGGAACGTTTCTTTTCTGATTCTTTGCTAAACAAGGATTGTCCTATGCACTAAACTAACGTACGCCCTGACCACATACTTATGAGAACTGCCAGTTCTCACACTGGGCCACGTACATTAGTACGGGATACCATGTGACATGATAATAGATTCACCGGCCAGCATTGCTCACCACAATCAAAAATGATCCTGTTAGTTTCGCTTCCATAGTAGCAGTACTTTGGGTCCATCCAATCGCTCTCTTTAGTTTCGCTAAATTTCGGTCAGCAGTGGTAAAATTGGTCATCTCCCAAGCGTTAGCGAGCAATTTCGCTCATACTAGCAATAAACCATTGTTTTACTCTCTTATATTTACAGTCAATATCAACAGTGGCCGCTAGGCACGAATTTCGGAAAGAACTTCACTTAGTTACAGACAAATCTTCAGCATCAGCTGGACTGGGTGATTCACCCGGCCAAAGGTAATCCTTTACTAGTTAATTGTATGGATACAATCCGCATAGTAATATTAAACTTGATAATGGCTACGACAAGCTTTTGAGGTATACATCAGCCACTAATCCATGTGGTAGCGAATAACATCGTAACAGTAGTATTTTACCACTGCCGAAATCTTCCAAAATGGATAAACTCCGCTATATCTCGTCTTCAAAACTGCGGTGCAGCAAAAGCAAACAATATCTGAATCATTTAAGCGTGTCTAACATTGTACAATAAACTAGTGTACTATCTTATATAAGTACCTACGCTAGAAATGCAAGCTGCTTGGAAGAACATCCAGCTTTCATGCAAAAATTACAATTTGACATACATCGGTGCTTAATTATGAAGAACGATTTTCTAAACTCAATATTTAGAACACTTTGGTTCCTACAAGAAACAGTGAAGTCACTCATCTCTAGTGTTTAATGTATTTGCGAATTGTTGCAAAGAGTACAGCTATCCCTTTACAATTTCTAAATACCATTCTAATCAAAGCGTGAAGTATATAATAACCTTACAGAAGACAAATCGCAATATTTGCATAAACGAATTTTTAATGAGGTACGCCTAGCTGTGATATTAGCTGCCGCTGCTATTAAATACCATTGAGAGTTTATCTATATCTACCTTGCTACGAAAAGCTTTTCTTACTAGGTTAAATGTTCTCTAGCGTCTTGCTCCTCTGCTAGCTAAAAGCTCATTCAAAATATGCCGGCCCCAAGAGTATACGAGAAGTCCCTGTTACTCTTGACATAAGCCGAAACTGCTTCACAAATTGTGCGTACTGAACACCAAGTTTTAAAAGAATCATTGACAAACCTCGCTGTACACGTGAGCGCTCTCCGAAATGAAAGGTTTACCGCTCATCGGTAAATACGTAAGTGTTTTGAGCAACGGAGGATCGGCCAGAAAATGACATTCCTTCCAGTTGATTATTTTAAACAGTTTGCCTTCGTCATATATGCATACCTTGATATCGTATTAATCAGACGTTAGTCAAACTGGAGTAAGTAACGATTGAGTGCTGCTCAATAGTAATAGTGAGAAAATCAAGTTAGTGAGAATTATTTGCACCGATTAATTTATATGAGTATATTACGTTTTATGTCTAAACTTTCATTCTATATGGTAACTGTACAAATGTTTATTTAGCCAGTTGTTCACAAATTGTGTAGCAATGTATAAGTACATATGAAATATTTGCTAAGGAAACTCATAGAGCAGCATAAAAAGATAATCAATTGTTAACCTAAGTTTCCGTTATCAAAAGTCTTTACCCTAACGTAAATAAGGATATCGCTGTGATATTTTAATAAATATATATTGCTTTTACTGATTTTGGAAACAAGGAGAGGGTAAAGTGCTGAGGTCTTTAACCAACCCCAGGCATGTTGTTCAGAAAGGCAAAAATATGAATGAGACACGCAGTCCATCCCAAAATATGGCATGTGTCGGCGATTTCAGTGAACGGCTTGTAAACGAGCAATGCGACGTGATAACTTTGTGTGTCCGCTTGTTCCTTCAGGATTCCACAACAGTTTTCTGAAGAACTTTGGCAGTGTCATTATTGACTTCATTTCCCCTAGAGGTAAACCGATTTATCTCAGGAAGGACAGAATAATAGGTCACAGATGATAGCATAAGTAGTAACAGTTGGCTTAATTTTATATATATTTAACCCAGGTTTTCTCGGGTATTACTGAAAGCAATTAAAGAAGGTATCCAGGTAGACATAATTTTGTTTTATAGATAAAAATTGATATTCTTCAGACGAAAAAGGATTGTCGCTGCAAAGTAACTAACCGCGGAATTTTGATTCATAATTATCCGTTAGTTGTATCCATGCCTTAATAAATCTGCTTGTGCCTTTTACATGCAGGGGTGCAAAATCGCACATACTACCCAGAGCTAGTTGTGCATACCGAATACAAACAAGTGATTTATCTTATGCTTGCTTGCTTTGCTTGGATATTAAAAGCACACCGAACATGTTGAGTCCAAATTTCTCACTGTAATATGGCTTGTTCTAATTTTACTACTGATATCAGCAAGCTGGAAAAGTATTCTTGTCTAAATTGTGATCCACTATAATCTGTACTCATTTGTAAGATGTCTGCAAACGAACTGATCCTCGTGGACAGCAACGACATTCCTAACGAGAAACTCAGCAATATTTGTTTTTTCGCTATATAGTACCACGGTTCAATTATTCACATTCAAATTACAACCCTTTGATTTACAGATAAGCAAGTTAAGTTGACTTAATTATAATCGCATAAATGCAGGACAAATTAAGATCCAGGTAGTCAGATTCGAAAACCTTTAAACCAGTACAGTTTTATAATTTAGTAACACGAAGCAAAATGCGGTCCCTTTGCAGCCATTTCGCTAGAAGGTTTTTTCATTGACTTAGCATAACTGAACTATATTGGCTCATAAAATACGAATGATTACAAAGATAATAAATTGGTAATCCGCAAGACGGACGGAATACATTCTTTTGTAGAACCACCATGTTTTGGACATTCTGCTTTTGTGCACTTCGTTGTACTGCACGTTAAAAGAACTTTTCAATTTATTAGGTTTATCGTTTATAATCGCTGCCTTAGCTTACAACGGGTTTGATTCAAAGTAAGAAGCTTTTCAGATTATTGCTTTTCAGATTAACAGATTTAATAGCCTCCAATTACTGAGACAATAGACAAAAATATTTCTCGTCGTATGCGGCATTAATTCGTTATTATTGACTACCACCGTTTACCAAAACTACTGAGCTTCCGAAATACATCAGAGTTACGGATCCATATATATAATGTTAAGAAAGCAGTAGTTTCTCTATCCACGTACATCTGCTACACTTCCTAGCTCAAATGTGCCATAGATGCAGAACATTTAAACCTAAAAATCACTTGGCATTAAACTTGAAATTTGTTGGGCACAAAACTTCAATGTGGAGAAATGAGGATTATTTATGGTAACAGCAATTGCGTTGTGGAAAACCATATCTAAATTTATATTGCAAAAGTAAAGTTAATGCTTACATTATTTGTCTAGGTATTACAGTGCAACCATGTACAACCCTCAGAGTACAACGACTCACCATCTTGTTGAAACGTGCATACGAGTAGTGCTGAAATTATTATGATCGTCTTGGTGTTCATTTTTGAGAAAGCAAGCTTTCCCAGGCAGTACGTATGGCAGTTAATAGATGATTTATATTACTTATAGGCGGCTAAGTATGCGTCATACTTTTAAGCATCAGCATTTGGTTGACCATGGCGGCATGTCGACTAGTCACGTCAGTTGTTCACTGAGTCCAGTCACCCATTAAGTGGCAGCCTATAAACAAGACGCAGGAAACAACTAACACCAGTACTTAAACGAACATTACATACAATTTATTAGGAGAAAACGACAGCTCTCACGCACACTACTTCAATGCTGAATTGCATAGAATTAATACCAACCAATTATGTTGAGTTCATAGTAGTGACTTTAAAATCATACTCCTGTGCCTTTGCGTTCTCTCTGCACTGATTATTGGTACGAGTCCCAGAGATCCACCGACAACCGGACAAATGTTTACAAACTGCTCAGTTCCTGACAATTCCCTTGGAACCAAATATTGTCATCTTTTTTCTTCCGTGTTTGATAGTAAAGTTCATCGAAGCGGCAATAACGATGACAAAAAATACTAACCAACGTCGTTGCAAATATCTTTAAATTTATTGCTTAGTATTTAGAAGTTTCTGTAAATGTAATGCCAAACAGTTGTGAAAATCATTCTGTCTGTCTTATATGAGTAAATGTGCGAAACAGAATAGGTGTATAAATTCAAAGCATAAAACGGCCTCAAAAACACGGCAACACCAGAAAAATTCATGCAAAATATTAATAGTGTAGGATTTCAAGGAAACAATAACTTAACTGGCAAAATATAAACATCTCACTATACCGACTTTCCTACTTTATGCAAACAATGAATTGTTTTACGGGATAAAAGGTCGTCCGCACCTACGGTAAGATAAAAAATGGATGTTATATATAAGCGATGGGTAACCATCTGTCTATTCAAGTTAATTAGATTGCATCTATACAGCGTAAGACAGGTAATGGAAAGAAATAGCGTACATCAGGAGCATATTTACTCGTATGGCTTAGCAAGCATAAAGAAAGTTTAGAGGTTTAGAAAAAAACGGTTCGCGCATTTGTTGGGCAACTTCTCGCATTTGACACTTAAGTTTCGTCAAGCCTGGTAACTCAGTTCACAGCTGAAGCAAAGTTTTAAGTGTTGGTTATTAACCAGGAAAACTATACGAAAAGCAGATTGTCTGGTGAGGCCAATCACTGTGTTCAACGCCGATGCTCCTATGTACCCATGTTACAAGGATAGGACAGTTGACTTTGTGTTTAAAATTAAGTGTAAAGACTGTACACATATGTAAGAGGCCAAACAGC